TGAATTCTTAGTCTTTTTTATTTTTTTTTTCCTTTGTACATCTGCCCATGATATGGGAATTTCGAAATAATCCATTTCTCTTAATGTCGGTTGCAATCTTTCAACAGGACCTTGACATGCCAAGCAAATTTGCTTTGCGGGAGGTAAGTCTTCTCATTCCTCACAGGCAGCATTTTAGAATACTTTGGCTGCAATGCTAAGTTTCCTAAGCTGAACAAACTGGAGCTATTTTATTTATGCTTTGTTACCTCTCTTTTCCATCGTTGTTTTTAGATTGCTTTCTTCCAGTCATTTTCATGGGCAATAGCGAAATTCTGAAATTTAGAATGATCTTATTCCATTTAAAAAAATAAAGCCTGTAAAAAGGAATATTTTAAATATATGACCAAAAATAAAATGCTTTTAACAAAAAACTATAATGATTTCACTATAATTATATAACAGTAATGTAATGATATTCCACAGACAAATCTACAATTTATATTACCTCCAAATAATACCAAAATTTATTGATGGATATTTAAAAAAATGTTTGTTGTGCTCTTGCAGTCTGCATAATCATCTGACAGGCCCCACATGAAGCCCACAAGCAGTAGGTTGCTCATCCTTGTTCTAAGAAATGTTTAAACATTTACCATCCTTCCTTGTCTCTACTCTGCCATCCACTCATAAAAACTCATTTGGTAAGTTACTGTTTCCCTCTTCCCACCCTTCTCCTAACATGTCCTGTGAGTGTTAAATTTTCCAAGCTGTCCTTCCTCATAATGTGTCCCAGAAATTTCAACAGTCTTTCTGATTTTAAGTATAAGTATCTAGGTACCACCAAAAAGGATACTTTTTTTCCCCACAATAAAAGTAAAAAATTGACACTCCCCTGTTTTAAAATATTTGCCAAAAATCAGGAAATTATCCAGTTCAAACAAAATATTGAGGATTTATTCATTAATGAATGAATATTTTACTGAATAGATTATTTTATGAAAAATATTGGTGATGAGGGATATGTTTCACACTCCATTTTTGATATCACACGTATACTTTTTAATTAGGGGGTGTTCATCCAAATTTTTTACAGTTATATAAAAAGAAATGCCTGCTGAAGATATTTCAGTAAAAAACTTATGCAATATCAGTTTAGAAAGATAATAACACAGAAGTATTTAGACTAGCCACTGGTCACTCCCACCACAAAGAAAAGTCTTCAGCTTGTGTGGTTCATTTCTAAATCTTCAAGCTAAATTTGTACAAGGTGTTGAATTTAAATATTGTATACAATAATTTTTTCACTTAAAAAACCCCTTAAGATTTTAAAAATGTAAAGTTTAATGTCATTTTTGAGTGTGAACCTTTTTTAAAAAGTCAATATTTTTCCTTTTAGTAACTATTAATAGATTATTTCTGGTATGGATGTCCAAAAAAGGAAATAATTCTGATATATCACATTGACTGACTACTATTCAATATTGCAGGATGTAGTGAACTACTATAGAGGACAAAAAGACCAGGGTTGCATGCATTTTTGCAACAGTCAAGAACTAAAATCACTTACTTCAAAGTTGCAGATGGCAGATAGCGCTCCATGTGAACAGAAAGTAATTAAATTTAAGAAAAAAAAAAAAAAGTGGGATTAAAGTGCCTTGTTTTTAAAAAGGTCCTGTTTCAAATGGCTGGTTGTTTGGCCAATCAGTAGTAACCCGAGACAATAAAAATCCCAAGATGAGTGGAGGGAAGATTTCATCATGGTGACAGTTATGCTGTTGGTACATTGTCCAGAGTTTTGAAGTATTGAAGTGATGATTTGTGAAAATGAAGTTTTTTTTTCTCCTACAAGCTATTTCCACAGATTTTAATTTTTCTATAAGGATGGTGGACAAAGCATTTGATATCCAATTGATCCTAATTTACTGATCACAGAGTAGATTAGGAATGTCAAATTGGTATGTGAACTGTGTGTTTTAGTGTGAAATTCAACCAGCAGAAGAAGGTTTGGACTGCCTCATGGAAATGAGTCGGCAATCAAACACCAGAAAGACTAATAAACAGAGTGCTAGAGTACACCCTGTCTGATCCTATCCAGGACAAGTAAAAAAAAGAACTGCAGTTGTGGCTAGACAATGATTGGTTGTCACCATATCCTGAAAGTGAGCTCGGTCCCTCCAAGGGCCTGCTTCTGCTGATGGTAGTGGTGGTGCTTGATTACAGGGAACTGAACGATTTTTTGGAAGCATTCACTACCAACATGGATGTGTGCACCAAAAAGTTGAGAGAATGGTGGTGGCAGGAAGTAAATATATCCTTGTTAGATTTTAGGAAGGTTTACCTAGAGATACATGTCGACAAGGCATTGTAGCCCTTTCAAACTGTGCTGATCAAGGGCAAGTGGTATTGCCATATGTGATTAGGTTTTGGCTTAAATGTGGTACCTCTCATTATGAGGGTTATCATCAACATGGTCATGTCCTGGAATGCGTCAATCAAAGATGCCATATCAGCTTACATAGATAACATCTTTGTCAATGAAGCTTTGATTTCTGGGGCACACATAAGTGATCACCTGTCCAATTATGGACTCAGTTGCAAAGACCCAGAGAGACAGGACTATGGTGTTGGGTTCTAGGGAGGGGGCTACTCTTCAATGGAAGTAGGGATATCAAATCCCAGACTTTACTGAAGTCATTACTCGTCAAAGTGTGTTTTCTGTGTGGATGACATGTGGGACATTTTCCCTGTGTTGGCTAAGAGTAACAACCAACTGTATCAATTAACAAGCAAGTGTGAACCCTTCAGTATTAACCACAGTCACAAAGTCAGTTGTCAAGAATTGTAGAGCTTGTCAATCTATTGATCCAGCAGAAAGGAAGGCTGAGAGTGAAAAAGAAATGGAGCAGCTTAGTGATGGATATCGCACACTACGGCAGTGGACACTTCCTAATACTTGCTGATTGTAGTCCATCTCAATTTTCAATATGGTAACTGCTTTATCCACCGGTGTCACTAACTAATAAACATCAATCTTTTTTGAGTGGGGTACACCAGCCGAACTTTTAACTGACAACAGCAGCATGACTTTCACTTGTGAGCACTTAAAAAAAATCCTCAGTTACTGGAGTGTGCAGTTTTGGTTCCAATGTGCTTATGCACTGGACAAGGAATGGTATAGTAGAAAGGAGTCACAGAAGCATTAACACCATTGTGGATAACCTCTCACTTTTTACAGTGCCAGCCAACATATCATGTCTGCATATGAGGCATTGATGCCATGCCTCTGCCCAAAACATGGAATACTCAAGTAGCATATGTGGTGGGGGACACTGTCTGGGTTAAGATTCTGCAAGTGAAGTGTACAACTAAGTTTAAGGAGGCCACATAACCAAGGTTAACATTTTGCAGGCAGTACAGATTGATAGAATTCCCTGTTGGAAGTCATACTGTTCATCTGAACATGAATGTGATTCAAAAGAAAGTGACTGATTCTCCTGATACCAGCAGTGCAGAGTCTGGTGCAAAAGAACCCAATGATTTGTCCAGTAGTGGTTCATCTGAAGACAAAGCTTATGTTGTTCCCCTTCAGAGGAATACCCAGCAGTACTGGTTGCATTTGCTGTGATCATGAGATCGAGGGGAGTGTAGTGAACTACCGCAAAGGGGCCCAAGGTTGCATGCATTTTTTTACCTCAAAGTTGCAAACAGCGGGTATTGCTCCATGTGAACAAAGAATAATTTTTTTTAAGTCTTTTTCTCTCCTATAGAAGAGTATTTCATATCACCCATTCACAGTATAAAAAATAAAATTATTAATTATACTAAGTTCAATAAAAACGTATAGAATAAGAAATTATGTTCTTAAACTATTGGTTTAAAGAAAATTTAGTTTTAAACATAAATAACAAATTCTGGATTATTACGATGTGGTCTTCCGTACTTCTTCAGGTTTTATTTTTACTTTTTCCCGCGCTTTTTTGGACAAGAGACTGAATGATTATATTTCTACTTTAAGTATACTTAAATAAAACGTTATTTTCAGCCTATTTTAAGTAGAAATCCAAATTAATCCTTCCTTAAATTTATTAAGACTTCGAAACACATCTCGAGGACAAATAGATTTGATTTTAATTTAATTATTTATTTGTTTAAATTTTTTTCATAATGGCGGCACGATGAATGGCGATAAAAAAGTACTAATGCTTTTAAAAATGCCTCAAAAGTTTACGCCGTAAACTTTACGGAAATTATTTTTTTTTCTTTTCATACGGATTATTGTTTTTTTTTTTACACATTATCTTTCAAATAAGAACCGAAATTTAAGTTCAAACAAGAGATTTAAAAATAAAATTTATTTTTTTTTTTTTGTTGGGGGGAGCCCATGGCGGTACCTAGATCATTCGAGCTTTCATATTTTTAGAATTTCTTTTTTATCCATTTGTCCATTCAATTCAAAACAAAGCCACCCTTCTTCACCTGAGGAAAAATTGTCCAACATTCACTAAGTGACTAAAGTTCGCTATCTTACTCTGTAACGAAATTTACTTTGTTTCGAACGAAATATTCTTACTTTACTTTCAAAGTATAATGAAAAATATCTTTCATTTAGTCCAACAAAAAAAATGTTAAACTTTTACAGCAACATTTGTAAAATAATTTTTAATTTTTTACTCTCAACATGTGCATCAAAACTTGTTCCACAATTTTTAACGTGGAAAAATATCCGAAAATTACTATGGAAGTTGAGAAAACCGAAGTATTTTTTTGTGCGTTTGTTTTTTGTCTTGATGTGGTACTGAACACATCAAATATTATTATAATTATTTGAAAGTCACTCACAATCGCTTTACTCACCAATATTATTTGAAACACAATTTTCTTCTCAACTCCTACAAGTTGAGAAAAAAATTAAGGATTTTGTTTTTTTGATTATAAAAATTTCAATAAATTGCAACATGGTCTTATCTTAACAAATACAGATCGTATTTAAATTTTTTTAATTTAATTTTTCAACTTACCCAAATATTCTTTTCTCTCGTATTTCTCACGGTCACCATATAATAAATATGTAAGTTCTTCTTTTTTGAAAGTCGCTCGATTTCTCTCTTCGACTAAATCCAGATGTACTTTGCTGTTGATCACTGAATTTGAATCATACATATTGTTTTTTAAAGTGAGTGTCGAAAGAAAGCCTCTCAGCTGTAAATATGAAAGGACATGCAAGAAAACAAAAATGAACTTTGAAGTGGGAGGTGGTGAAATTGGAGGGGGAGTTGGTTGAGAAAATATTCCTCTCTAATTCAATTGCCTTTCTTTTTTTAAACTAATTGCGATAATTTTTAACTATCTATGATTATGAAACTATACAATTATTGCATCACTTTTTTTCTATTAATTTATAATTAGGTGGCTACTTTTTTTTAAGCTTTTAGTAAGTTTTAACTTTTTCGTAACTTCGGGTTACCTCAGCACTCAGTATTAGATCAAGTAAGAAGAGAATGCTTTTTAGCTTTAACAAACGTTCAAAAAAACTTCTGATTTGATCTTAGAAATTATAATAAGCTTTTTATTAAAGCAAAGGTTAGTTGGTTATGGTCAGACGTTGTATAAACAGTGAGTTTTGTGACTTATCTGACAAAAAAAATACAGGTAGCAATTTGTTAGTGCATGTAAATTTCAATTAGCGGCTTTAAGCGTGATATAGTCTAAGTCAGCGGGTGAAAGAAATTGTTGCATGAGAAACTAACTACAGTTTTCACTTCAATATACATTGCATGGCCAATTATTCCCACCCCCTTTTCTTTCTCCTCTTTTTATTTTGTGTTTGCCTTTTTTCCACATTTCTCTATCTCACTAGAAATAAATAGGCCATACATGTGTGTACGTCTATAACTAGAGTGGCTGCCCTTGACATCAAATACGCATGCGTTCTTTTCTTTAACTTCGCCGGATCGGCTCTATCCACGCAAGAACGAGGTCACGTTTCTTTGTATGTACACTTTTTAGTACAATTTGTATTTTACTATCTTCACTCTTAAAAATATACCGAAAGAGTGTTCCCTGATTATACAAAAATGGCACCAGTACCAGATGTCACAATAAACGATGAACAGACGATCGGGGTAAAAGCTGTTCTCCTCGGACCACCAGGATCAGGAAAAGGAACTCAGGTAATTCAAATTGCTTTTTTCTTCTACGTTCTCTAAGGGAACCACTTAAATGATTTGATTGCCTGTGTAATATATCAATCAATGAAATGAATGCAAGATATTTTTTTTTTCGGAATATGGGCCCAGTCAGATTAAACTAAAAAGCGTATTTCTTGGGAGTGTACATGTGGTTAGGTTGCAGTGGCATCTAAACTAATCGGATGAAAATGCACACGTGGTTGGCAGTTTTCAACTTGTAATTTCTGCATATCACCCCCGACTGTTTTTTTTTTTTTAATTTTCTTTTTATCTTTAGATTTTTTTTTTAACTTACCTCTAGTCACTCTACTGCTCTCTACTTCCGCTTATTCAAAATATCTAGAATTTACCCGTAGGGAGAGTGAAAAAGAACTATCACGAAATTTGATAATTTATCCTAGCCGCTATCAACCGTTTAATTTTACAACTTAAATAATATAATTGAAAAAATGAAATTGCACTAGGGGAGTCAAATTTTGGCTATTTGTTCTCTTCAAAGTTCTGCTTCATTCCCGGAAATAAAAAGGATTCTTTATTTTATTTGTTATAGCCGAAGAATTATCAAAAATTGAACAACAGTGTAAGAAGAATTGTTTAAATATAAAAGTTAAAAATGATTTCAGTTTCACTAATCATCGGACGATTGTGAAGTTTTTTGTTTTTTTTTTTAAATCATAGAGGACAAAATTGAATAGAATTTTTATTGTTATCGATGAGGAAGACAAAAAAAAGTGTCGTTCTTGTAACAGTTGTTTAAGATTTAAAACCTGCAAGTTGCAAGGGAAGAATTGAAAATTAAGCAAAACTCATAAAATTAAACTAAAGTATCAGATTTCCGGTGCACAAATGATATCAAAAATAATATTGTGTGGCATTCAGTCAAGGATTTATCGTGGATGAAACAGTCTTACTCTTAAAGTAAGCCGAAGAAAAAATCGGGCGATTCAAAGGCATTAGAAAACTGATAGACGATATACGGAACTTGCATACCACTGCACCGGAGTTGAAAGTAAAAGGACAAGGTCATTATTTAATTCTTGCATTTCTTACTTACTAGATTTGATGCAAAAATCCCCAATGCCATCATTTATTCAATATCTGAGAGGTCTTTCAAGTTTACTTCTGTTTTTGTTTTTTTAAGAACTTTTGTGGAGAAATGTTGATTTGATTTTGGTGTAAAGTGGCAAAAAATACATGATTTGACACTGTTTATGAAGAATAAACACTAACAATCAGTGTTTATTCTTCATGGCCAATAGTGGGAAATTCGTCGGAAAGTTGACGATAATACATTGTACATCACTGAACTTATTTTAATGATGCAGTATGTATAAAAAAAAAAGGTGTTGCCAATAATGGTGTATCAAGTTTAAAAAAAATATTTCTAACTTACTTTAAGCATACACTGAAAAACAAGTGTACTGTAATGGAGGCACTTGTCAAGATGCAACAAGTTAAATTTGCAGAAAAATTAGAGGTGAATCAGTACGTTAACAAAATAACTCACTGATTCACGTAAGTTTTTTTTTTTTTTTTTTTTCAAACCTTAAGAAAATTTAAATGTGTTTTTTTGTTTTTGTTTTTTTTTTTTACACAAATGAGCATCTTTCTAAAATACTTTTCTTCTCTCCTTGCTTGCTACAAAGGTAAATTAATTCGACTGCCGATGCGTTATGTATTTTCTCATTTTTATCCTTGTCATTTGCTATTTAATTTCACGGTAACAGTTTTTTCAGCTCTTGGATTTATAAATATGCACTGCTAATTGCCGTCACCAGTGCAAGGGAGTTAACTCAAATACGGCAGAAAGAATAGGTATTGCAGACAAAAATATACAAATACATCTTCGACTAGGTTTCCTTTCATCATCATCTGTTGCGTTTTATTAGTTATAGCCTTAGATAGCATATTTTTTCAAACTTTTTTTTTTTTTTTTAAATATTGACAATGCTTCATCTAAGAAATAAATTTAAATCTTTTTTTTCCTGTTTTTTAATTAGGTAGTCAAGTGATGAAAAATGGATTTATATTACAATTACAAGAATCCAAATTGAAAGATCATATTTGGGGCGGGAGGTAAAGAAAAATTTATTTTGGCACATGGCAGTCTTCATTTTGCAAATGTGATAAACAAATATGGGTTTGCGATGAGAAGTACTTCCATATGACATATTATCCCAACTTTTATTAATACAATTTAATAATTTATTTAACATTTTAATAATTCATTTGACTCTTCTATAATTTGTGCACATGTCAAAGGATCATGTCTGGTTAGAGAAGTATGAAAATTAGATTACCTGGTTCATTAAGTTCCACAGCAACATTGCGTCTACTTCAGACCTCTATTTTCTCTTATCTTTTATGATCAATACCATATCACTGATGCCATGTATATCCATTGTTAACTCACAAGAAAGATCTTAATTCACTTTTCTTGGCTGTATCTGTTATATTTGGGCACTACTTTAACCAAATATTATCACATTCAAGTTCTGTAAATATACAAATAGTGTTTTTCTTGTCTGTTTTCATCCATGAACAGCATTATTATATCACAGATATAAGGTAAACTTATCTCCACCAGCCTCCAAATCACTTGGCGGATACAAATATTCTTAGTTTTCCCCCACATGAAATTACCAACTATGTCTCAAATTAAGAATTTCTATGCTCAGTGTGCAAATAGATATAAGAAACCAAGTCAATGAACACGTTTAAATAGCTTTTGTTTTTCTTGATTTTTATTTTTTATTTTCAGTCCCTTACACACTTATCTATTTTGAAGTGTTCTTACCAAAAAGTAACCCAATCTAAATAAGTTTTGTGATTTTTGTCAATAAACTGTCAATGTTTTTTTTTTATCTTCACAGCCATTGCCTATCAATATCGGCAAGCTATCTGGGATAACCAGCTTCTATGGGGATTTTAGAAAGTGGTTGTTTTGATTCCGCTGAGATTTTAAGTGTGAATTTTCCACAGCCATAATAAAATTTGTTTCTGTTGAATAACAAATTTTACAGCACAATAAAATATTCATGATCTTTCTTTGTCTAAAAAGAAATGACATTTTGTGGAATGTGATCAGATCATGCCCCTGATGTTGAATTTTTGGCAACAGTGTAAACCAGTCATTCTCAAATTTTTTTGAAGTCAGGGTGCACTTGAAATCTTACCAATAATTGTAGGTGCACTGTATACAAATTTCAGAAAAATATATTATAATGAAGTCAAATATTGCAGAAAAGAAATAATACAATAAAAAATATAAAATGAAACATACCTTAAGTTTATTCATTCTTGTGTTTGAGAAACATGAGCCTGATGAGTCTTAGCGATTTCTTCAATGTTTGGGCTTATATTTGATAGGCAAACTCTCATTTCCACAATACATTGAAGAGTTCCTCTCTTTATGCACTTGTGATGAGAGCAGAAAAGCCTAATTCACATAAATATGAACAAGAAGGGTACCTCAATATAATAAAGTAAATATATTTGTTTCTTCTATCTGGACACGCATTTCTCTGGAATGCCAGAGCACCCCTAGACATCTTCCAGTGCACCTGAGTACTGGTGTAAATGTTTGTGCAGTTTGATAGAATCTTAAATAAACAGTGAGAATTTGTTTAGGAAATTTTAGAAGACCATAAATTGTCATACTGCCACAGAGACAACTGGGTAGGTTGAAGATCTAGATTTACTAAATCTTAATGAATTCTATTTGGTTTATTTCAGTTTCAAATCTTCCTAGGGCTTTTTCCAAACTCGGTTTATGGTTTCTAATTATTTTTGTTCTTTATTTTCCTTGATGCGTAATTAGTTTCTCTGAATTTTTTCCAGTTTAATCATATTTCTTGCTTCAAATCATCATACATTCTCATTCAGTAGAAAATTCTCATTCTTGGGACACTTAAATTTTATTCATATCATGGCTCTCTGATCTTCATTGCAGTTTTTACACTGGTTTTGTTT